TATATGTAGATATTAGGAGATTGTAGAGCGACAGCAGTGATGAAACCTCGTCAGTGAAACTTCACACTGATGAATCCAAACCTCAGGCGGAGTTCAGCAGCATGTGTGTACTAGTCCTTGTTTCTTCTCTGCTACAGTAATTAGTTGGCACATAACTTTGAGTTTTTCTCTGGATTTTCTCTGCACATCTATAAAAGTGCTGTTTAACACTGTTCTGTCCGACTGTCAGGAATGTGCTCAGCTAATTTCTTGGTAATTCTCAGGAAATCATTTCTGTAGATCAATAACGTTTGAAGCAGTGACCACTGGTCAAACACAGTTTATCTGCGTAGTATCAACACAGCTGCAGCCAATGAGGCGGGTTTCCCCTGAACAGGTCACCAGCGAATCACAGGATCAAACCACTCACTCTCATGGTCCCACCTGCCGTCAGTTTACTCCTGAGGTCGCTGCGCTGGAGAAAGTGAAGCAGCAACGAGCCAGGTCAACGGTGGGGGGGTAAAAAGATCCAGACCCTGGTCCCTGGTGGGAATGAAGGTTCCTGCAAGTTGCTGGTATTTTCCTAAATAAGCAACAAGATTCAAGTCAATTAATGAAGCGATTCCTCTGTAATATTTGTCCTTTTACATCTTCACCAATAAAATCAAATCGTCCATCAAACGTCCTCTGTTCAGCCAAGAATCTGTCGGCCTGGAGGGTTTGGGATCGCTCCGCAGCACGTCGCTGCTTGTTTCAATCCTAAAATAGTCATTTAGGACTCAGGTGTTGTCTCCACCTCTTCTCTCGACTTTGTAAATAGTTACTTTCCTTGCCTTCCTGTTTGATTCCCTCAGGAGGGACATTGGACATTGGTCCCCTGTGACTGCAGCCACACTGTTCTGTCTTCTTAATGGTAAAGTGTTCACCAGGAAAATAACCGACTTTCTCTCTTTTCTCAGAAGAAACTGCTCCACAAAGGGTTGAGACTGAGACTTCTATAGAACTACCAGTGGAGTCGCCCCCTGCTGGTCATTACACAGAATGCAGGGCTCAGACACTTTAACATTGGCTTCACTTTCTGAACCCAGAGTCTGTGTTCTCATCAGTCACATGACTCGACTACCAGCGGTGAACACAAAGCGTCACTAACACTTCCTGTCAGGAACAGTTCCACCTCGTCGTCGCTCAGAGAAAAGAAATCTCTGCTCTGACTCTTCACCATCACTGCTCCTCCTTCAGAGGAGGTTCTGTTGCTAAGCAACCAACTACACAGGAGACCATCTACCTCCTGTTTACATCACATGACCAGTGGACGTGGATGGTCATGTGTTTTCAGGTGTGGTCGTTTCCCACCATCTTTGTCCTCTGGCTCTGTCAGCTGGAGGCAGACACTGATTCTCGAGTGACGTGACCTGAGGCACAACACAAGAACTGACTACGAGGTTTACAGAGTTCTCCAGTGGGGGGGGGGTTCTTTCCCAACATGAACACTCAAGGCACGTGTGAGACCGGCTCCGCCTCGTTAACACGTTGACATAAATTCTCCTGACTTCCAGTGAACCTTGATACTCGTTAATCTTTTCATCTGAGCGGCGGCTGGCGTCGTCATGCCAAGAAGAACAAGAAGAACAAGAAGAACAAGAAAAACTGAAAACGTTTTACAGCCGGTACATTTATGTCTGACGTGTAAATCTGATCTCACTTTTCATCTGAGGTGAAGTCATGTGGAAATAAGTGTGACAGCATTAACACCCACCTCCAACTGTCTGTGTGTGTCTGTCTGTGTGTGTCTTCTGTGTGCGTGTGTGTGTCTGTATCTAGTATAGCAATAGTAGTTATCGAGTCGTCATCTCTAAACTTTATCTGTTTTTCACATATTCTAGTAAACACTTCTTCTTTCACCCTATGGTTCATTGTGTAGGTACAATAATAATGTTCTGCCGTGTTGTTACGTTTGTTCCACCATAAGTACCGTGGTAATACTTGAGGTACCACAGTATTAATATTTCATTCCATGGTAATTGTGTCTTTTAAAGTGAGCAGAGAACTTGTCCAGTATCTTAAACAGGCTCCTCTTGTACTTTTACTACAGTACCTCCACCATGTTTCTGCAGAGGAGCTGGAGCTGCTGACGATTCTTCTGTCTTCAGGTGCAGAAACACGAAACCCAGAGGTGAAGTAATGACTTCCAGGTCATTTTTGGCAAAAGAGATGATTTTGTCTCAACATGTTTTACAATGTGCAGCAGAGGCAGCGAGAGGAGCAGTGTGACGAGAAGCTGTGGTCACAATCTGTCCCATCTGTCCCGTCCTCACTGCTAACACAAGACGTCCAGTGGTGAAGTCCCCTCCCGGCTCTCCACCCGTGAACCTACAGTGTGTGTGAAGAGTTTCCATCTCAAGCTCCTGCCTGAAGGTGGAGGAGGACTGTACACATTCTCCTCCTGCTCCTGCCGACCAACGTTCTTCTCTTCACACCGACACCAAGTGTGTCTTCTTAAATGGTTTGATTCAGTCTGTTCTTCTGCCTTCAGATGTTTGTTCTGTCGTCTTCTCCGTGTACGGCTCCTCTTCTTCATCCTGAGACATTTACAGTGAATAACAGTAAGGTTGGAATTCTGCTCTTTTACAGGAAATAATAATAAATAATATAGTTCTAACTGCAATGTGAGAGTACAGGAAGAAAACTGACGTTAAAAACTCTACCCTGTTAACACAAACTATATACATATATACATATATATATATATATATATATATATATATATATATTCTTACTCATTTATTAACTTTACTCAGTGTGTATTTCACTTTCCCTTTTTTCTGCTGTTACACTAAATGTCCCAGTAGAATGATCTTGTCGAGTTCAGCGAACAGGAAGTCTAACCCTTTGTCGGGGCCTCGTACGACTGAAATGTAAAGAAAATACCAAAGTAAAACACAAACTGTCCCTTTAAAAGTTCTCCTCAGATTGTGTTTCATTGTATAGTTTTTATTATAACTGTTTTATTTTATAAAACACGTGAGTCACAGATTGAATGAGCTGTTTGAGGGTTTTAAGAGTCAGAGTTTGGTCTTTAGTTGTGATGGTTAACGTTAGAGAATGTTTTATGTCAATGAGTGTCCTCACTAAGATAGAAGTACTAACATGTACGGCTGTGTGTGTGTGTGTGTGTGTGTGTGTGTGGTGTTGGTG